CTTCTGTGTTGTTAAGGGTTAAGTAGGTAAAGTTTTGAGGGCTGCACTAAAACTGATGTCTCTGATTGTGGTAGAAATGATGTAAGATGGGCTTGTCAAAATGTATCTAACTAAATTTAAGTACTTCATAAAACCCGAGCAACTCTCAGGAAGAATTGGCGTTTTTACAACATTATTTTAACATACCAAGACAAATTGATGGACAAATCGACATAAGAGTGATCTAAGGAGGACCGAAATGAGGAAAGTAGGTAGGTAGCCTTAGGGTGGTGGTTCGAAAAAACATTTTTTTCGAAATCCGATGACGGGTAGCAAAAGAAAGGTGCCTTTTGGCATCAACTGGACTAGGAAAAAATCCTAGTTCCTTGGGACAACGCTTTCATCGAAAACAGGGAACTCGAATTTTCAAAATCCCAAATTTTCGACTTTACCCACCGTGTTTTTTGTCTTATTGTGAGATAATTTCTAGATGATTGAAAAGACGCAACTGTCACGTACTCTACAAATTTACATAGGTAACTTCAGTGAGAAAATCGATTTTTGTGGTCGAAAAATCGATATATCGATTTCAGATGTAAGTTTTTTTAGATATTTTGTCCAAATAAGTTGAGCGAATGGTTTTTGGGCTTCTACTGGATAGATTAACAAGGGGTCGGACAAGCAACAGTCCGTGGATGATTTCGCATGGAATGACGGATCACCAAATTCAGTCTGCAAACTTGTATAAATCGTACCTTAGTTGTCGACATTTCTACGTACTTTATGCAGGTGTGCATCTGTCACTCTATGTATTTCTTCACGAGGAATATATATTATGATTTCAAAATTTCGATTTATTGAAGGCTTGTATTAATAAATCGAAATTTCTTGGGATATACACAAAAAACCGCTTTCTGGGACAAAATATCGCACAAATCGATATTTGAAATCGACATATCGATTTTCGACCGCAAAAATCGATTTTCTGACTTAAATTACCCATGTTAACATATATAACACGTGTCAGTTGTGTGTTTTCAATCATCAAGCAATTATCTCACAATTAGACGAAAAACATGGTAAGTAAAATCGAAAATTTGGGATTTCGAAAATTCGAGCTCCATGTTTCGATGAAAGCCAAGGAGCCAGGATTTTTTCCTCGTCCATTTTATGCCAAAAGGCACCTTTTCTTCGCGCCACCCTGCAGGTTGCCTGTCATTTCAGCCGTCAATTATGTCAAATAAATAACCATACTTAGATCATATGGATATGAAGGCGATTTTTTATCCAGCTCCCTAGTGCTAAAAATGCGTGCCTATCGCACGATTTGCGATGTAAAATCAAAGGAAAATACATATCTTTTATCTTCATCATCGGTTAACACGTTGACTGCCACGGTGTTTTAGGTAGGTACTTATTTCCCCCGGCGCCATAGCCTTTTCTTTTTGGTATTTTTTTGAGAATTGACTATATCAAACCTAAACTTCACAAACCTTCGTCATATTCTTTCAGCCTGAAGCCGCCGGTCGTGTGTTCCTTGATAATCGGCAACGTTGCGTGACTCGCGCGCAGTCAACCTACAACCTTGAACGCCATGGAATTACTGGTAAAACTGGGTAGGAGACAAATCCAGATACCCCCTAACACCGAGTTTCAGGCGAATCCATCGGCAAAAAGTCGAGGTTGCCAATTGTTGACCATTTTGAACTTTAATCGGCGGCCATTTTGAAAAATTAGGGTTTTTTTAAAAATCTAACGTCAAATTCGTTTTTCTCGTGCCAAAATACCACCATATGCCGAGTTTCAAGCAAATCCATGTGCAAATAGCAGAGCTGCCGATTTTCGGCCATTTTGAACTTTGACCGGCCGCCATTTTGAAACGGTTTGAGATAATGACTTCGGGTTTGCGCGAAAAAATTTCTTTTTTAAAGCTCTTTCGAACGAGGTATCACAAAGGGGGTCTCCCATTTGAAAAAAAAGTTAGGGTCCGTAACCCCCCCCCCCAAGTGGGGGCCCCCAAAATTTGGGGGGGGTTCAAAAAGTAGTTCCGTTTGATCTAGGAACACCCTCCAAGTTTCAAATCTCTACCTCAATTAGGTCAAAAGTTAAAGGGGGGGGAGGAGACTTTTCGAACACCCTGTATTTTACCTTTTACTTACCCCTACCTCCCCCCCTCCTAAAAAATTGTTCCCCCTTTTTTTAAAATTTATTTTTCAAGTTGTGCCAAATTTTAAAGGTCTAACATTAATATTGAGGTACAAATCCAACGATTGTAATTATATTCTAATTTAAAACAAAAAAAAATAGCGAAAAAGAAAATTAAAGTTGAAAGAGAAAAAATCCGCCCCCCCCCCCAATTGTTATTCCCCTTTTTTTATTTATTTTTCAAAATGCGTACAATTTCTAAGGTTTGTAACTAATATTAAGCAAAGAAAACAACACTATTGTAATTGTATTGTACTAATAAATAAAGATAATAAAGAAAAAGATCCATGAAAATGAAAAAAATAAAAAATCCCCAAAAAAAAAAAAAAAAAAAAAAAAATTCAGTAGTGCATTCTCTTGCTGGGGCCATGCCGGTCGTGAGCCATAAGCGTATGGACGGCTCCGCCGGTCGCTGGCCTCTCAGTAGCCTGGTAATGCGAGCGAGCGGGTCCCCGTCGAAACGACCGGCGTGGCCCCGGCAGAACCCTTCGAGGCCGGTTGATACGACCGGCGTGGCAGTCAACGTGTTAACCTTATTTTTTCGCGTTGTATCAGTAAAACTTATGACGGGATGTTGGACAAATTCATCGTTGACTTGTTTTTGGCCAGTGATGGTGTTTTCTAGGTTAAAATTAAAGTATAACTCCTCTGGGAGGTTGCCATTTGAATCGGTTCGTTCGAAAACCGCTAATGTCCATTTTTTTCAATTTTGAGATTTTTTGGTTAAAATACTCTCGGAGGTTAGACACACTCATTAATGTGGTGAAAATGTTGGTTCCTTGGGTTTGAACCCCTTTTCAGGGGGGGCCGTGGTCCGAATCATGCGAAAACGCTAATGTCCATCCTCCGATATATGCCTCATAAAACAGTACAACACACCAAAAGAAAAAAGTGTCTCCTGGATGACGTAAGGTGATCTTAATGTATTTTGAGGCGCTGAATCCGAATATGACCTCCGTTTTATTTTAGCAAATTCGACGTATATATGTCGTGCATGAAATTTATTTTTATACATTTTCCTGGACCCGTGATAGTATGTTGCCTCTGTATTTTGAGCTGCTGAATCCGAATATGACCTCGGTTTCTTTCTATCACACTTCAGATTTCCGGTAAAGCCGATTTTTCCGAGCCTAAAATTGTGTATCGTAAAAGCTTCGCCGGACTCGAAGTGTATTCGAAATTCATTTTAAAAATGTCTCCGATGTGTGATACATCGATTCCTTTGTGTATTGAACTGTTGAATTCAAAAATGATCTCAGATTTCTCCGATCACTTATCATTTTTCCGGAAAAGTCGCTTTTCCTAAGAAAACGCTCTTTTCGGGTATTCTTGCGGGATGATTTTCCTGCTCTGAGGAGTTTCAGAAATTTTCCGAGATCCTTTTTTGGTCTCTCTTGCTGTATTAAGAAGCACTGAACTCGAATTTGACCTTCACTCATCTTTGACAAGCCCCCGTTTTCGAGAAGGTCCGATTTTTCCGGACTCTTGGCCCAGTTTTTCCCGGCCAAAAGCTTTTCCGAACTGTTTCCTCTTCCAGGGAAATTCAAAACATTTTCCGCATGTGTGATACATCGTTTTACATGTAACTTGAGCTGAAAACCCCAAATATGACCTTAGAAATTTGATATCACCCACCGGAGAATTTCTGAAACTCCTTAGAGCAGGAAAATCTTCCCGCAAAAATACCCGAAAAGAGCGTTTTCTAAGGAAAAGCGACTTTTCCGGAAAAATGATGGGTGATCGGAGAAATCTGAGATCATTTTTGAATTCAACAGTTCAATACACAAAGGAATCGATGTATCACACATCGGAGACATTTTTAAAATGAATTTCGAATACACTTCGAGTCCGGCGAAGCTTTTACGATACACAATTTTAGGCTCGGAAAAATCGGCTTTACCGGAAATCTGAAGTGTGATAGAAAGAAACCGACGTCGTATTCGGATTCAGCAGCTCAAAATACAGAGGCAACATACAGTCACGGGTCCAGGAAAATTTATAAAAATAAATTTCATGCACGACATATATACGTCGAATTTGCTCATTTTCCCAGGAAAAAGTTGCTTTCCCGGAAAACTGAGAAGTGAACGGGAAAATTAAGGTCATTTCCGGATTTGGCAGTCAAAAGGACATCGGCCAACGTGAATCTCGTAGCTACGAAAAGTTTTACCTACATTCTGCAGGGGATAACAATAGGAAATACACCGAAAATGCCCAAAAATGGCCATTTTTCCGAGTAAAATCGGTTTTTCCGGAAAATCGGAGGGTGATTGAATAAAACGGAGGTCATATTCGAATTCACCGCCTCAAAATACGTTAGGATGACCTTATTTAGCCCGGTAGGCATACTTAAACATATGCGTTTTTGATGTTTTAAGACCGTTCGCGCACAAATCATGCGAAAACCGCTAATGTCCAGTTTATTGCTCGTAGTTTCTTGATGAAACTTGCTTTAAGTGCCGCAATTGTCAAGAATTTCAGTTTTTCAACTTTATTTGAATGATAATCTACCGTTTTAATATCTTTAGAATTAATTTTCATCAAACGGCTCCAAAACTCGGAGATTTTCAGGAATCATGCGAAAACCGCTAATGTCCAGAGTCTTTTCTTTTTAATTATTCCGTCCCAGACAGAAGGAGCTAGAAACTGTTAGGGATTCTTTTCTACAATCCTCTCCTGTAATAATTAACTTCTGAAAATTTTTTAAATCCGCATTTAAAAGGCTTCTACAGTTTTTTGCGGTCCTCTCAAAATTAGAGAAAATGGACATTAGCGGTTTTTGCATGAGCCGATTCATTTAGGCCAAACACACTTTCTAATTTTTATCATTGATGGATAGATAATTTTTGGAGTAGCTGATACAGATAAGTTGATTCCTATTGGACCAAACTTGCGAAGATTCTTGAGTTGATAAACAGTTTCCCAATTCAGTTGTTTTATGATATAAGGGTTTAAAGGAGTGTTTTTACTAATATTGCACGATGATAACAGAATTCTGTTGGAAAATATCCGATAGGTAACATCGAAAAAAAGTGGGGCCCTTTTTGGCGATAGTTCAATAAAGTTCAAATAATCAACTGCATGGTTTTTACGTTTGTGTACGCTAAGGACCTGATGGCCCCAAGTAAAGGTTCACCAGACTGAACATTTGGACGTGGGGTTCATAGGGGACCCAGGCGGGCAATTGTAGGCACGAGCAAAGTCAACCGAATTGGAAAGTGGACCGAGGACTCGAAGACGACCAGGTGAGTGAACAGACGACCTTATCTTAGTGAGAGCATCCTCTGGCCGGTTTGTGCCACACCAGATTTGCGCATAGTTGAGGAAAAATAACTGGTCATGGGTCATATTCAGGCCGGGTAACAGTTTTTCTTCCCCATGAGTTTTCACCCACTTCCGATAAGCCTGTAAGATATAAAAAAAAAATATAAAACATTACCTGGATAAACGTATGGAAAATCATACCTCCAACATTCATATTTGAGAAAAACTATCCATAAATAGCATTTGGTCACAAATCTCTCTATGAGGCACCAATACATGGAAGGATTCAGTGGCAGTCATGGAATCAAAATTATTTCTGGTTAACGTCCAAAATTTGAGACCCATTAAAGATTTATTCCAGGCTTTCATTCGAAGGGAGAAAAGGGGAATTTTAGATACTTAGGTGTGAGGTGGATGTTTGGATCCTTATTCCATTGAACAGAAGAAGAACAGGATTATCTAGTTGAGTCAATGGAAGCTTGGGATTGTGGACTTGTCAACCTTCAATCGTGGAGTGTAAGATGGTAGTGTGCGACTGTAGGAAAGTTGCAGAAATAACAGTGAATTGTTGCGCTTATGTGGACCTTTACTTTAAGTTCACTCATTTCTTCAGGATTTCCGGAGGTTTGGAAAGTCTGGGAAGTCATAGCTATCTAGAAAAGTTAGAAAATCTACTTGGAAAGTTAGGAGATTTTGTGAGTAGCGCTCACCAAACTTCAGCCAGTGTCATTTGAGAGAGTGCAAACTGTCTTCCTAGCGCCTCTCTCTGGGAGTTAAATCTCTAAAAGTGGAAGTGTCGTCAAGAGTCAGGTAAAAATCAGCGTAGTTAATAAGAGAAAAATCTGAGGGAGTGTTGCGTCCAAGAATTGGGGAAAGTCCTGGGAATTCAGATTTGAAGTCGAGAAAAAGTAAAAAAGTCACAGTATTGGAAAGTGGAGAAATTATGAAAACTGATATCATCTACCTAAGAGGGAGAATATTCAGTTGAAATTCTCAGAGCACGACTTGCGCTTCTTATACTCTGTTTAACAATTACTGTCTGGAACTATTATCCTAACATTTGAAACGGCTCCTTTACAAGTCATAAAGCTGGTTAGGTGTTACGGCTGCCAGCTGTGGAGCTGCACAGCCAACACAAATGGATAAGATTGAAGTTGTCCAGATGAAAATTGTAAGGAGTATAGCTGAAACTTGTTGGTATTAGATGAATGTATGCAGATATTCGCACTGACCTCAATACCTATCAATTTAGTAGAGGACTACATAACCAAGATGTATAACTCTTACGAAAACAGACTTCACAGTCACCTATACCCAGAAGCACTTATGATTCTAGAATGGGGTGATGGTTTGCGTCCTTTAAAACGAGAAGTGCACCACAAGCTTCGAAAAGAGGGGTTCAAGAATTTTTAAAATACCAAGTAAAAGTCAGAGGGTGCCCATTTTTGGGACACGGTCGGAATGCGACTGGAGGACTCTGGTCCTTACCGCCGTCCACTCTATTTTTAGAAAAACTATAGTAAATTATTGCTTTAAAGTAACTTTGTCCTCATAAATGCCAGTTTTTTTTGCGTACTTTTTCAAATTTACGAATAAGGGTCTAGCAGAATTAATCTCAAATTCTAAACGTAAGTTGTACAGGTACTTAATTTAGAAACAAGTTTTTTGAGGACATTTTTAGTTTTTCTAAAAAAATTAGTTGCATAATTTTCTTGTGGGCAGGTGGAAAAAAGGGAGAAAAAAGAGAAAACTTTCAAGCCCCACTCTGGCGAGGAAAACTCAATCAAAAATAAAATTAAACTGTTTTTACATGAAAAGAAATAAATTGATGACAGCGGACAGCCATGTGTGATTACTACACAGCTACTCATATCAAGTAAATATTTAACTGCCTTGTACCTAGGTCCCTATAAACAAATACCTACTGTAAAATACAAGAACGCAATCAGTGTGAAGCAACAAAAATGGGTACGTATTCCGTTATAAAAATTAGTATTGTGCATTTCCGGAATAAAGCATAAAACTTTCGGGGACGGATGTTTGTCTTAAGGAGATGCAATATGTGAAGATACAGACCCCAAAAATCTAATTCCTCTAGGAGGGCTTTAAAAACCATGACTTTTCCGGAAATACAACCTCTAATTTGAAACCCTAAAGGCTGAAAGATCGGCCCTTGAAAGTTCCATGTTTTAATCTGTATATGCAAGAACCTTGTAATTTTTATAAGTCATTGATCTTGCCCGGGTGTGAGATTTCTTGGGACACTTACATTGAGACCTCTGCAATTCAAGTGACAGGTAAGTCGAAGTTATTGTATCACTCTTTTTCCTAAATGTTACATTGGGTCGTATTGATTCTCACCCTGAATGACTGTTTCAATCCACCGTTGTCAGCTATATTTTCTCCTTGAGTCATTCTTCCGTTCAGGAACAGATCGACCTCGTCCAACTTATACCGCGAGTACTGATCAATAATACACTGTGTTTGCTCTCGGAAAGCTCTAATTGTTGCATTGTTCCACCACTCCTGCATGTTTCCATCTTTGTCAAATTGTCGTCCTGCAAAACAACCAAATTACGTTCAACGACCGTTTGTTGTTGAGAATTGTAGATTGCACAATGTGGAGAGTTCGCTGATATACATCCAGCATTGTTAGATAAATACGAGGGTACCAAAATTGAATAGACAGTTTTAAGCGCTACTAATTGTCATTTCCATGTAGCCATCAGGTTAAATTGAGGGTAGGTAGAAACTCTAATTTTCCGCCAATTATACCCTAAAATTAAAGCCATTATACATTGCCAGAATGTAGACAACTCCTCAAAATGCAATCCTAACTTCCATCCTAAAGCCAAGGACCTTAAGCCAAAAATCACTCGCCATCCCATCAAGACGGTGTTGCGTGAAAATCTGAAGTTTCGTAACACCTGTCCAGTGAGAATTCACTGTAATTTAAAAAAATGGCCTTAAGAGATATTAATAAAAGATCAAAATAGAGGCTGAATATAAAGGATAACCCAAGTTTAGCTACCTGATGCTCTGAGAAGCTGGATTGAAAATTGGAAGAAAGTGCCGTACCTATACATATGAGGCCTTGTGAGTAGGGAGAAAATGGGGATTTGAGCGCAAAAGTTTTTAGCCAAATTGTGCAGAAAAATACGAATTAAATTACAGTGTTGTATGGGGATTATTGTTCAATATGGCAACGCTGTAAAATGAAAGTATTGCATGTTGCCCCTTCAATATGCGGGTTATGCAATAGTGTAATGTTGCCCCTTCATTTTGCGGGTTATGCAATGGTGTATTTTTCAAGATGGCGCAGCAGCGTTGCCGAACGGGGAACGTAAATAAATGATTTATTTAGTGGTGAAATTTTGCAACATGAAATTTTACAGTGTTGCCAGATGGGGCGAGAAATTAGTTGATTTTTTCCGTACACTGTTGCCAGATTGTGCAAAAAATTCGGATTTTTGGACTTGTAAAATTTTTTGGTTTCGGAAGACCGTATCTTGCAGTATGGGCCTGGTATCTGATACTGTAGATTAGAGTCTGATTCGGTAAAATTGAAAATTTTTCGGAAAATCATCATCCTCCGATCCGTTGCGGACCGATGCGATTTTTTTTCCATTATCGAAGATCGGAAAACTGTACGGGCCAAATTTCAATATGACTTTTCGTTTTCGAGATTTCGGACTTGTAAAATTTTCGGTTTCGAAAGACCGTATTTTACAGTATGGGCCTGGTATCGGAGACTGGAGAATAGGGTCTGATTCGGTAATTTTAATTTTTTTACTAGTGTGCGCTTGAAGATGCGTAAAGGGAACCTTGTGTTTTGGGATGAGCGACTGGGAATGGATATTGTTATGTTCAGTTTGATAAATTAAAAAATTTTTATTATTTTTTTTTTTTTATTGGATATTTACAGTTTAAAAACAGTTCGCGTTTCGAAAACGCAAACACGTTTCGAAAACGCAAACACGTTTAGAAAACGCAAACACGTTTAGAAAACGCAAACACGTTTAGAAAACGCAAACACGTTTCGAAAACGCAAACACGTTTAGAAAACGCAAACACGTTTCGAAAACGCAAACACGTTTCGAAAACGCAAACATGTTTAGAAAACGCAAACACGTTTCGAAAACGCAAACGCATTGCATATTATTTATACAAAATCCTTACTATCAATCCAACTGTTGTGACTCGCATCCAGACCCAACGATTTGACAAAGGCCTGGTTTTTCTTGCGACGCAGAATTTTCTCCACCAGGAACGTATCCTTATAGTTGGTGGGTTGGAGTTCTTCGCGGTAAAATTTTCCTTTGATGATCGTATCGTGCGCGTCTTTCAGATCGTACGTGATCGGAACGGTCGGATTGACGCTGACAATCTTGAAAATTTCCCTGCTCCAATTCGGTGTGTATCCTTTCTCGAACATGGCTTTGAGTCTCGAGATCCGGACGTGATCACCGACATTCAGTTTTCGTCTGGCCAGACGTCTCTTTTCAATTTTACTCAGCGGCGGCCCACGAAGCTTTTCCAGGATCATCGGTACATCCTTTTCGGTGACATCGATTGGTTTCATCCCGATGGTGCGATGAACGCTCTCGTTATATTCACGGATGAGTTTCGGTAAAAGATCTACCCACTTGTACGATCCTTGCGCGCTGAACTCTTTCCACATCTTCGTTTTGAGCGTTCGATTGAATCGCTCGACAATGGAGGCTTTGGTTGTCGAGTACGAGCTGTATATATTGATCTGGTGACGCTTCATCAATGCCTGACATTTGGAGTTGTAGAATTCCGAGCCCATATCGACTTGTAAATGTTTCGGTGACTTTCCGGCTGCTTTGAGAACGCGTTGCAGAGCATAAGTAACATCCGCGGCCGTTTTCGATTTGAGCGGTTCGGCCCACGCCTTTTTCGAGCACGCGTCGATGACGGTGAGGTGATATCTGTATCCTTTGTTGACCGAGGCGTACGGTTGCATCTCGACGAGATCGGCTTGCCATAAATCGAACAATCCGAGAATCCGTACTTTACGACGCGGATAGTTCCGTCGTGCAGGTTTATGTAGCTCCTCGACGATCCCACGTTTTTCGGTCGACATGATAATTACCGTCGACGTCGTCTTCGTCCGCTTTCTCGATTCAAATGCTGTTTCGTTGCTACTATTTTAACCAGACGATTGTAAGATTGCTGAAGTTGGTGGATACGCTCCAGACAGTGTTGAGCTAATTTCATGGCTTCCTTCCACTTCCGTTCGGACCATTGTTTGTTCACCGCATCCTCATCGCTTTTGGGATCTTGCACTTGATGAATCCGTTTGTTCGATACAATATAATTTCCGTCGGAATCCAGTGAGAATCCGTCACCTTTTGGAGCGCGGCGGAATTTCGATCGGCCATAACCGTCCGTGTGGCTCATCTCAACACTATTTTCCTTTCATTCGATTCACAACCTCTAGTTGACTGATTCTTTTTTCCAGTCGTGATAATTTCGTCTCGAGTCGTTGCGCGATACTTTTGTATCCTTCCATTTTCTCCAAACAAAGCTGTGTCGAATTCATAGCTTCCGTCCACCTCGAGTCTGTCCATTGTTTGTTCACGGCGTCGGTATCCTCTTCGGGATCTTGCAGTTGTCGGATCCGTTTGTTGGATACGAGATAATTCCCGTCGGGATCCAGTAAGAAACCGTCTCCTTTGAGACCTTGCTTCGTGTTGCGAACGTAAGTCCCTTTCGATCTTCCAAACCGGTCGGTGTGACTCATTTTTGTGCGGATCCTATATTTAGTGGATGTAATCCGCTTCGCGAAGCTCTTCAACGATACTCAGAATTTCACGATCGTGATCGGTGTGACCAGCTTGTTTCGAAGCTACAAGTAAAACGAGACGTTGGACCAATTCGTTCGGATCGTCCCAATAGACGAGTTCCCGTTTCGCACGGTGAATTTTGATACCGGAGCCTTTCTTCAATTTTTTACGCGATGACTTCCTCGTGGATCTCGGAGTAGATGTAGCGAACAAAGGTTTGATGATATCGCGGTATTTTTGACTGCGGTTCGAGTTGGGTCTACCGTGTGGATGATGATTCCTCCAATGCGCATTGGTGAGCGTAACTACTCGTTGGAAATTAGCACGATCATCTGCTGTGTAATTACGCGGATGTTTCTTAAAAATGAGCTCCAAGAACCCGGGTGTCGGTTCGAACACCTCATCGCCACCGTCCAAGATTAGTCGTCCGTCCGAATCGAAACTTATGGTTCGGTTTCCGATAAGATAGTTTCCATTGATCGCTTTCCGCACACCATACGTGGTATTGGACTGTTTCGGTTGTTTTTCTAGATCGTCCAAGTAGAACTGTACGTGCGGGGCAGTGATTGTGTTTCGAGAATCGACATCGTCATCTTCAGTGCGACTCGTTGTTTGTGCTTTACCCGTTGCATCTTGGAACGATTCATCATCATCATCATCATCATCTTTCTTTGAATCATCATCATCATCATCATCATTATTCAAATTTTTCGGTGATCCGAACGAAGCAAATAAACTATCAACAAACGTTGTTCCATCTTTCGTTTCCGATTTTGAAGGTTCGATCTTGGTTTTCTTCTCCTGAGGAGCAGCGACAAGTCGGGGAGTTGACGACACAGTTTTCTGCAACGCTGCGAGCGGATCTGTAAACGGTTTGAAAACTTTCTTCAACGTCACCTGAGCGTCCGCCTCTCCGGTGTGAATGGTATTTAACTTCCGTTTGATATCTTGACGGATTTTATCGATACTACCGTATTTCTGAGCGATCGTCGACAACGATAAGTTATCCATCTTGTCCAATAAAAGTATCGAAGCCTTTCCGGTACCTTCCCTCGTTCTTATTACTATCTTTATCGATGACTAAAAACCCGTACTTGTCCTGCCAGCACACCGAGCAGATGTGCCTGAAATCTTCGAACGTGAAATCTGTGTTGACGTGATCGTCGTAGATGTGTCGCAAGTTTGTATTGTCCTGTTTGAAAACTACGAGCAGGTTAGCGTTATCGCGAATCAATTGTTTCGGTATGCGAGAATACGTTTGACACAAGTAGAAACTGTCGACCGAGCTGTGTCTTCCCATACTGAAATATTCCCGCAACGCATTTTGTTTGTCACAAGCGACATCATCGAAAATGAAGACCGAGTCTGTGGCGGCATCGTTTGGTGGAACAATCTCGGCCGTGTCCGAATAGACGATGTATCCGAGACCGTCGATTCCGTCGAATATCTGACGCAGTTCTTCGTACTTGGGTTGGAACGGTGTCTTGGAGTACAAGTACACGTTGCGGAACTTCAATCCGTTCGGATGTTGTAGCAAGCAAACCATCACGTTTGTTTTACCGCAGTTGGACGGTCCAACGACAATGCAACGGATACTATCCGGTAACAGTCCACTGTGTCGTCGTCGTTTTCGTCGGTTTTCATTTTGCTTCTTCCGTTTGTCGAGGTTCCGGACTCGCAGTGACTTTCTTTGCTTGACGAGTCGCATCGTATTCGTTCCCTATTTTATCGGACAGTTATTTTTTTTT